AATTTAATAATACTGATGGGAGTTGTGATAACGATAGTTGCATCGTTGAAGCTGTTGTTGATATGAGTAGAAATAATAAAGATGACAAAGCTGATGAACTTAATGATGATAACAACAACAACGTTGGTTTCCTTAATAATGATGATGATAAAACTAATGGTGATAACAATAGTATCTGTAATGATATGATAGTCAGTGATGTTATTCCATCTACTAATGATAATGATGGTGATGATGAAGGTGATGACAGAATGAATTCACCTAATGATAACGGTGATGATGGTAAAGGTGATAATAAAAATGACAACAATAATAATAATGATGATGATGATAACAACAAGAATGGTGATGACAATAAGGACAATGGCGATGATGATAGTAATGGTAAAGTTAATGATGAAGGTAATGGTGATAATGAAAGTAATAATGATAAAGATGACGACGACCAGGGCGATGATTGTAAGAAGAGCAATAGCATGTTGAATGTAGAAGAGCCAATGGATGTTGATGCAGAAATGAACAGAGGTTTGTATGTATATTGTGTTGATGTTGTGTATAACTGTTCTATTTGTATGTATGTAAGTGTGTATGCATGTATGTTTGTATGTATGTATGTGTATGGATGTATGTATGCAGTGTGCTTTACCTAATAGCCAAGTGTTTAAAAATAGTGGCGTGTCTGTGTGAGTGTGTTTGATTTTTAGGAAATGGTGTTTTTATTTATTTAATTAATTTGAAAAATGGTTTTTGAACAGTTAAAATGTGGCTTTAATTGTAAATAAATGCTCCTACATAAAATAGTGACGACATTGTCTTAAAAATTGTTACTATATATTTGTAAACCTATAAAGTTTTCAGTGGATTTATTATATGTAAGTGTTGATGCTTTCAAAATGATCTAGAGTCTAGAAAACATTTCGAATCATTGATGGAAAGCCAACGTGTGCATCTTGAGGAGCTGTGTTCTGATTGGAGGAGCTATCTGGAGAAGGAAGTACAACATGTCACTGATGAAGGTTTCTTATTGGCTGCCGGTGTTTAAATGTTTTTGCGAGAATGATTTTTTATTGGTTGATAAGTTAACTTTGTGTTTGTAATCTAAGTTTTCATAAGTTCACTTGATTTTACCGTCATTGAAATAAAGTTTTTTAAATTTAAGTATTTGTAACAAATCTTTGTATTGGTTACTAAGTTTGTGTTAGTCATAGTTGCATTGAAATTTATTATAGATTGCCAGTTGACATTTAAATCAATGTTATCGACATATGCTAATCATATACAAACATTTTTGAAGGTCAAGGTGAGATCAGAGTGTCAATCGGGAAGGCTGAGTTGTTGATGAAGGAGAGGTTCAGTCAGTTCCAGTCTCTCATTGAGGATCACGTGACTGGAAGGAGTGCCAAGGAGGTGACCTCACAAGACTTGCAAGGGTTCTGGGATATGGTCTTGTTTCAGGTTGGTTCAGTGTTTGATGTGTTGGTTGGCTGGTTGAATGGTAGGCTGGTTAATTTGTCAATTGTTGGCTGGCTGTGTTTTTGCGTTTTTAGAGAGATGTAAAAAAATGTTTTTAATTCTTTGCGATTTTATTTACTATTACTGTTTCAAAGGGTGGTGTGTTTAAATGCCTGAAACTTATTGATGTTTTGGTTGGATAATTTGACATTGCGCATCGATGTATTCATTCTATTGTTGACAGGTTGATGATGTGGACGCTATGTTCCAGAAGTTGCAAGTTATGAAGGAAAAAAATTGGATAAAGGAAGACAAAACTACAACTGCTGCAAGAAATATTGACAAGAAAATGGTAGAGCAGTTTTGATTTATATTAGTTAAATTTTTTTAATTACTTTTTTATATTTGTTTTTTAATTTGTAAGTAACAAAATACTTCAAATTTCGTAAGCCAAAGAAAACAACAAAGACAGCAGCTTCCAGTACCAAACCAACTGGCAAGGGTCCCTCCAAATTTGCAGAGTTTCGTGACATGATGAAAAAAAAGAAAGACACGACAGCGACGACAGATTCTGCAGTGGCTGCTGTTGGTACCGACGGCGATGCAGTCCTCGAGAAGGAGAACAAGGGGGCAGTGGTTTCCGTGATTGATGAGTTGAAATCTTTTGATGGAGGCTTCTTCAAAGTGGATAGTCCCATTAAAGTTACACCAGGTTGGCTAAACATTGTGATTTTATTTGGTGCAATTTATTTAATCAGTAAGCCCAGAGATCTTCTTCCAATTATAGGTTCATGATCATCTAACTTGATTAAAAGTAATTTCAAATAACATTAGTTAAAAATAAGTTCAAATGACATTAATTACACAATCAGGCAGAAAAAGTTTGACCTCTGCCCTGTTGAACAGAACATCAGATAAGAAGAAAACCCCTGTACTTTCAAAATTGGCCCAAGTGATCACCTCACCAAACGATACACCCCCATCGTCATCGCCATCGTTGACGTCGCCAGCGAGCGACGACCTCGCGACACCGGCGACAGAGAGGCGCATTGTCGTTGGTGCCGTCGGAAACTACAACACCCCATACCCTAGTGACGTCGTTGAATGTTTCGACGGTAATCACAATGATCATAATTACTTCGGTGGTGAGATGGAGCACCAATCTACTAGGGATTCTACTGCCGATGGAGTTAATGATGGCGAACAACGAACTGATGATAAGGTTGAGGTGGAATCAAATGGTCAAATTGCTGCCTCCTTTTGTTTGAAGAAGAAAGCAAAAAATAATTTATACTCTATGGAAAAGACAGATAGAAGAAAAAGTCGGAGGTATTAGTGCAGCTTATTACTTTGTTATTATGTCCATTTGTTACTATTGTTTGTCTGGTTACTGTTCACTATTCATTTTGTTGCTGTTTGTATTACATTTACTCATAAATTCATTTGTTTGTGGTTCGTTATTTCTTAATTTCTTCGTTCATAACTCATCTTTCTATACGTTCATTTTTTGTTCATTCATTTGCTCATTCACAGATTTTCTCATTCAGTCATTCATTTACTCACTCATTCATCTTTTTTTCTCTCATATAGGAAAACAGTTACTTTCAAAGCTTTGAATTTGGATGACTCACCACCGCCGACTACGACGACTGCAGCTCCAGAAACAGCAGCAGCTTCATTAATAGCAACGACATCAGCAACACCACAACCAACAAAAACATCACCTACAAAGACATCAGCAGTGGCTGACCGACCGCTCAACACCTCTCCAGACCTCCTCAGTCCCTTCCAGAAACTAACTAAACTGCAGTGTATGTTTGCTTTCAACTAGCTATAATTTAGCCTTTTATATACATATATATATCGTACTATCATTACAGTACTGTCATTATATTGTAGTGTATATATGTAGTATAGTATATTATAATATAATAAAATGTTTAAATAATTACTATAAGATATGATGATTTAAATTGCTACTGATAAATAGACTAATTAGTATGTATGTCATGTTTTTGTATGAATGCGTATGCGTACACTTCTGTATGCGTGTTTGTTTTCTGTGCTCAACAACCTGAGTTTGTATGTGTAAATGGTAAATGGATGATAATGTTCATAAAAGTATGGATAAAAGTTATGTGTGTGTGTGTGTTTTATTTATGTGTAGTGTTAATAAATAAATAAATGTCTGTTTGTTTGTTTGTCTGTTTGTTTATATGTGGATATCATGTTTTTTATCACAATCAGTCGATGAAGATGATGAAGGTACTGATGAAGTAAAAGACCTTATTACGTTCACTCCTACAGCTGTTACGCCATGTAAGTTTTTGTGATGTGTGTCTGTGTGTGTGTCTGTGTGTGTGTTCGTGCGCGCGGTTGTATTTATTGTTGTTAACCTTCCTAGTTTGGTTAATATGTTGTGTGGCTGTCATCTGATTTGTTGCTTGCACTAATTTTCCAACTGTTGATAGTTACGAATTAATTAACGTTTAATCAAATTGAATGATATCTATTATTAATTAATTAGCTAATTAATTTGTCGATGAATTAGTTAAAAAAAACTAATTATCTTGAAAAAGCGAGAAAAAGAAAGTCTATGTCCTCAACGAAAGCTGATGATGTTCCCACAAAAAGCACACGAAGATCAGCGAGATTGTCACGTGGTGTGAACGTCAACTGATGATTGGATGATTAGTTATTATTAATGAACTAATTAATTAATTTTATATAATTATGTGGCCTATTATATGTATATATATTATAGAGATATTTAGTTTTATATGTACTGTACATGTACATGTTTGTCCTTTAAAATGCTATTTGATAATTTTTCAACAATAAATGGAGCATACACTTGACTATTCCTTGACTGTTCATTACTTATGATTTTAATGGAGTTGTAAAAAGAATTTAGCGAAAAAGGTTCATCTTGCGGCTTTTTTTTCTTTTTAGCTGGCTATCTGTAAAACTTGTATGTTTGCTTTAAATATTTCAATATAATGTTACGATGTTAATGTAGTGCTACAATATTGATGTAATGTTGTGATGGTGATGAAATTTCGCCACTAATGATTCACATTCATTCATCATAGTCACCGCCCCATGCATAATTACTTAAAAGGTTGTCGGTTTCGTGGAGAGAAATTTGCTCTTTAGTTTCGGGAAGGCTTGAAACTAAATTTTTTAAAACTTTCAGAATGCTGTTTATTAATCTACGTGTAAAAGCTTTTTTAGCTGTCCTTTGTATATAGTTCAGGAGTGGGCAAACTGCGGCCGCGAGGTCTTGTTCGCCAAAAATAAAGACATTATGACCATAAAAGGAGTTACAAATCTTGAAAAATTCTCCGAAAAAATTAGCTATTTAAGCACTTATCCGGCCCTTTAAAGGTAAAATAGTTCTCAATGCGGCCCTCACAGCAAAAAGTTTGCCTACCTCTGATATAGTTTATGATTCACCTAGCTGAAAATTCCTAAAGAATGTATAGAAGTATTCTTATATGGCAAACTCGTGTATAACATGAAATCGGTAGACATTAATTTTATTTACTAATAAATTTTGATTTTTAATATTACAATTTTTACGAAATGTTTCTATTTTTATTGAATGTTACAACTGTAATGAATTTTTTTTAATTATATATAAAGTAAGAACAAATCAAAACACGACTGTTCGAAACTCCAGATCAGCAATGGCGATGAATTTTGAATTTTATTCTACTTTTTCAGTAATCTAAAAACTCGATGGTCTATCATTTGGTTATTTTGTCATGTTCTTTTGGTAGCAATAAACACATTTTGATAAACACTTGGTAAGAAACAGCTGATTGTAATAAACCGTTATAACCGCACGAACACAGTAAATGTGCATACAATGTATCAACTATAGATATCTATAGTATCTACACGAAAATCAATGGATACACGAAAATAAATAAATACATGAATGAATGCCTAGTCTTCATTTAATGATTAACAGTCAATGAAACAAGTTTGTACAGTCTACTTTACTAATAAACAAAAAAATGTTCATTGTTTAATTTGGTTCATTCAGTATCTTTAGGTTTCATTTAACATATAAACCACGTCTTGTTTGTAATGTAACTAGATATCACAAAACCTCTTAACCACGTTAATGTGCTTCACTTGATACTGTATCCACATTATTGATATTAATATTTGAATTGTGCTATGATATATCGATATAAATTAACAACGTATAACGTATCTTGGTAACTTATATATCGAAATTGGCCCTACATGATATAATTGAGATTACTCGCTTATAACGAAACTTCAACATGACTGTGCTTGAATACGCTGTGTTATAATTGATAATGATATATGTATAATTATCATGCGTATATATAGATATATAATATATATATAGATATATAATTATATTATATAATTATAGTTATTATAATTTAATAATTATATTATATATTTATTATAACATAACAATTATGGAAATGGTTGGAAATCATCCTCTTCGCACCAGGTGTATTCAATGAGGGACTTCTTCAAGCAGGAGAGCAAGATGTATGCGTGTATAAAATCCACAATCTATTCGGATTGTATGTTTTTCAATTAGTTAATACTAGGTTATTTATTAATTTATTGGTTAATTAATTAATTAAATGAATGAATTTTTGAATGAGTCAATATGGTATTCGTCGATTTTTATGTTTTAATAAAGTGATGGAATTAAATCGCAGGTATATAGTTTTGTGAGAGTTTCAATATTTTTAATCTTGAAAAAAGTTGCAGATTTTTCCATTGTAACTAAAGATCAGTAGTTGGAAATGTAAACGTGTGTACCGTCTGAACATACCATAATCGATTTGTTATCTCTATATGTACGTATGTATGTAAATCATTGATTTTGATTTACTTGAGGTATAACTTATGCGTACGAAGTACTTGTGTGTGTGTGTGGGGGGGGGAGGGGAGGGAGTATGTATGAGAAAGGAAGATAACAATCCTCGACCAAAAGTATTTTAAATGTAAGTTATTAGGTGCTCGTTCTCAGAGATTGATACTAGGAAGGATTGTGATATTCATGTTAATATTTCTCAGTATTTTTATCAATATTTTCCATCTTTCTAGAAAATTTGTCTAATTTTCTGAAATAGCTGCTTTCTTGGAATTATTAGAAAGCCTGCCTGACGCATTACATTTATATGTGAATAGCTGAACGAAAGCATCAATTTCATCACATTCCCTAATTAAAAAGTTCATGAAGCAAAGCAAAACAGCTGGACGACTTTATTAATAGGATGTTAACCTCCTTTTTTTCGAAAATTACACTTCAAGTTTATTTATAGCTATTTTGGAAATTACAAACATTTTATTTATAGACTTTGGAAAATTAGCTCTGGACTAGGACTAATCTGTGTAGAGCACGTAAAGCATAACTTTGAATTATGCAAATGGGAAAATGAGTCTCATAGACTGACAATGTACGTACGTTTCGGTCGGTGGGTTTATAAATACATATATGTCTTCATGTAGGTAGGTGTAATGAAAGTTTAACTTTGCGTTCATTTGACATGCTATGCCTGCCGTCTTTCTAGATGACAATCTGCAGATAGTTTTAATTTTCCAAAAACAAGAAGAATTATTTTTAAATTAACGATTGTAGGAAGTCATCTTTTAAAAGTCTTTTATCTCTGCAAGTAGAAATCATTTGTTTTTGCTTCTCGGATATTCATTACTTTTAATGAAAATTATCGCAAAATAACCGCTCAGAGCAACAATTTTTACTTTGCTTAGTAGCAGTTTATGTTTATCACAGTGAAAACACTTCATCAAATGTCTAAATTTATGACATTTCTTTAAAAAATCTCCGAAAAACTTTTTGGCTTCGATATGTGATGTGATATCAGAAGAATAAAACAAGACATTGGCCCGAGCAAAACGGGTTTTAGCTTGAGAATCAACGAATTATTTTCATTTACCGGCGCGGCTACTTGTTCGCTTTTTACGTATTTTTACGTTTCTATTCATTATCTTTGTGACGAATGATAATTATAAAAATGATTGTACAGTGTTTGATTGCATTATTACAAAATGCTGGTCAGTTAATCAGTGACCCTCCTCTCTTTCTCCAGCCATTTTTTTTCAGATGTTTATTGTTATCAAGTCCAATTACACTTTAATTAAAAACACCAGCTAAAAACTTTTTCCACAAAAAATAAAATCAAATCTCACTTGTTCGAAGCTTTGATTAAAAATAGAGGAAGAGATTTTTCTTTCAAAGATAAAAGGCGAGATAATTCTTTGATTCTTAAAAAATAAAAAGTTGAGAGGAAAAGAGGGAGAAAATAAAAGTAAGAAGAAAGAAACAGAGAGAGAGAAAAAAAAGAGGGAGAGAGAGAAAAAGAGAGAAGAGAGGGAGGGAGAGATAGAAAAGAGAGAGAGAGAGAAAGGAGACAAAAAATGCCGCGCCTTCTCAACATTATATCCATCACCCGCATTTGATAAATAAAACAACGTTTAATTTATATTTGCGCGCAGGTTAGCATATATCATATATTTGGTGTGATATATGGTATATTATATGTGATATACGTATGATATCCAGCCATATTATATATCATACATCGATCAAAATATCAAACATGATACATATCAAATATCTAATACACATGCATATAACATGTGTTTATATATCATATATCAAAACATTAAACGTCATAGGTCATTTAAAACATGTCTATGTATCATGTATTTACATGTCATATAACAATACATTAAATATGATATATATATATATATATATCAAGAATTTATATATCATACATCAATATATCGAACAAGATACCAATTATATATCAAATGTTATCCTATATTACACACACACACGTTTCTATGTTTTATATTTATCCCATGATTCATAGGACAACACTGAAATATGCGCTGAATTAATTAGGAAGATATCAACGCTTGGTTGATGGATGGTATCAATCAATCAATCTATCTATCTATCAATCTATCTATCTATCATTCAAATTGAATTGAATTGAAATTGTATTACGCACGCTATATCGGCTATCGGGTGTATACACACCTACAATCGGGTACAGTCGTGTGTCTAATATACACATACACACCTCTACACACACGTGCGTATACATATACATACGCATATATAAGCTTGTGTGGATGTATGTTTTGTATTATGTATTGTATTGTATTTGCATTATATCATATAAAAATACATACATACAGAACATATATATATATATATCTACAAATACGAACATACGTAAGTAGTACACACACACACACACACGCACACACACACACGTAAATAAACAACAACAAACATCGAACGACAATGAATTATTTATTGTTAAAATTGCGGAAGTGTGGAAGAAATGAAAGAGCGACGACAAAATGAGAATAAGAAGGACACACGCACACACGCACACACGCGCATATATTGAAGAGCCTTATAATGCACTTTGTTTAGATTGCCTGTCAATAAGGATATAATAAAGATGAATGACTCCGATATAAAGAAGAAGAAAAATTAACAAATTTTTCTCATTTTTTTCTTTGTTTCTTTCTCTCTCTCTCTCTCTCTTTCTCTCTCTCTCTTTTTTTCCTTTTTTCTATAATGATCCTCCATTCTATCTTTCTCAAAACATTAGCATTTGAATATTGAGTGAACGTACGTGTTTATAGATGAATGAACGGATGGATTGATGGTCAAGTGTTTGGGTATATTAATCACTTTATAAATTAAAAATTGTATGAATTATGGATTAATTAATTAATTTATGAATAAATTAATTAATTAGAATAAATTAATTATAATATAAAAGAAAATTATTTCAACATCCACATTACTTTGACGATTAATATTTATGACAAGAATCACTGCAGGGATTCGAATTCTTTTTAACATTCAAACAGAACCAATAAGACAACCCTGGGGGGGGGGGTTCCTGGGGTGGTGTCTTTTGTGTGGTGAGTTTGTGTGTGTGTATTGTGTAAAAATGTATGTATGTTTGTATTGTATGTTTGTTTGTTTGTATGCTTGTTTGTAAGTATGTTAAAATCAAAACATGATGAATGACACTAAACAGTCAAACATCAAGTAACAAGTGGATTAACACTTTGATTTGTCGCTATGTATGTATGTTTGTTTGTATGTATGTATAAATGTATGTATGTATGTATGTATGTATGTATGTATGTATGCATGTGTGTATGTATGTATGTATGTATGTATGTATGTATGTATGTATGTATGTATGTATGTATGTATGTATGTATGTACGTATGTATGTATGTATGTATGTATGTATGTATGTATGTATGTATGTACGTACGTACGTACGTACGTACGTACGTATGTATGTATGTATGTATGTATGTATGTATGTATGTATGTATGTATGTATGTATGTATGTATGTATGTATGTATGTATGTATGTATGTATGTATGTATGTATGTATGTGTGCCCTAACCTTAACTCTGATATTATTAAAGCCATTATAGGACACATTGGGATATGACATGATGGCTGCTACCGCTTCAACCTGACATTGCAAATCACTCGATCTATTTTTAGACGACGACGACGATGAATAACGAACGTGAGATTGATAACGATTATCATTATGGTTATTATTATTGTTGTTGTTATTATTGTTATTATTATTGTTGTTGTTGGGATGATGACGATGATGATGGTCAGAAAAAGTAGGGATGTGACAGCAGGACGTCGGCACGAATGGACCGTCGGCGAATGTGGTGTGGTTGTACCAACTGCTTGTCTTGTAGTCTACCGGTCCGCTCACCCCACAGCAATCCATCTGTTACAAACGACATTCTCAAAAGTTTTTTTTAAAATTTCATTTTGAGTCTTTAAAATAATTGCAAAAATATTAACACCAATTGACATAATCTTTACAACGTGATCGTCTATAGACACGAGATTGTAGAGACATGAACATAGACAGACAGACAAACCCATTTGTATACGTATAGGCAGTCAAACTAGCACAAACAAACTGTAGCATTTGAAACATACAAGCAGGCAGTCAAACGCAAAAACAGACACACACACACACACACACACACACACACGTACACATACACCGTACATAAACACACACACACATAAATAAGAATATATAGAGATATATATATATAGAGAGAGAGAGAGAAAGAGAAATTTATATATCATATTATATATATAGAGAGAGAGAGAAAGAGAGAGAGAGAGAGAGATTTATATATCATATAGAGGCAGACAGACATTGACGTGCCCGCTGACGTTCCAACGTTCGATCATAAATAACGATTTTTAGGTTGTCAGGAGAGTTTATTTTACATAACTTCATTCCAATGATGACGTCATAAATATGCGTGCATATTATTATTAGGCGATATTAACACACACGCACACGCGCATACACAATACACATACAATGCGTCTCTTCTTTAAATAAGATTAATTTTAAATAAGCTTCAATTATTTGATATCATTCTCATAAACTTATTCATAGCGTAGACATTGTCAAATTTGACGTCATCCTCCTCCTCATCATCATCTTCGTCATCATCATCATCATCGTCGTCATCATCATCATCATCGTCGTCATCATCATCTTCATTATCATCATTTATTTATTTATTTTTAAATTAATAATAAACATACAAAAGGTTTCTTCATAGAATAATGGGAAAATATTTTAATTACATGCGTGTGCACGCTCATATTAATAAATAACGAAACATTTTTCAATAATAATAACAAAATAACAACAACAACAATAACAATAACAACAATAACAACAATAATTATAACTATAAGTTACTAATAAGAATAATTATAACAAAAACAATAATAATAAACGAAATTAATTATTGATGTTTAATAATGAGTGATTGGTTGAATCTAGAATGATTGATTCCATAGTTTGTTGACAAAATAATGCAATTTAAATGTAAACAAAATGACGTAACCAAACAACTGTAAACAAATCTTGTAAACAGAGTAGTTGTAAACACAGACATGTAACGATAGATGTAAACAAACAAGTAAACAACGGATACAAACCAACGCAAAAAATAACACGCGCAAAGAGATTAAAACAAACAAAAATAAACATACATAAAACATGATGCATGATACATGATGCATGATGCATGATACATGATTCATGCATATTAACAATCAACGTAATAAACAAACAAATCAATAAAAAATAAACAAATTCATATAAACGAACTCACAAACAAACACATAAACACAAACAAACAAATACAAACACACACACACACAAACATACAATGGTGCATGTAAACAAATAAACAAATATCTCCCAAGACATGGAGACGTATATAGATGGCGTCAAAATAAAACTGGCCGCGATAAGAGCCTTGGTGTTCCCGATCTGTATGCATGTATGTTTGTTAGTTTGTATATGTGTTTGTTTGTATGTATGTATGTGTGTATGTATGTATGTATGTATGTATATATGTATGTATGTGTTTGTGTGCGTGTGTATGTTTGGGTATATTTATGTCTGCATATATGTACGTACCCTAGTAAAGTTCGGATGAACGTGTGCATCTTTGTGACTTTTGTAATAAAATACCAATAAAGATAATGAGGATGACGAAGACTACGATGATGATGAAGACGACTACGATGATGATGAAGACGACGATGATGATGGTGATGACGATGACGATGATGATGACGATGATGATGATGAGGATGCAGGTCACGCATTGATCACGTGACGAAACATTCTTCGGCACCTAGCATCGTTCATGTGTCAGCATTATGTCAAAGCATCATAATACTTATGTCTCCTTCTTCTTTGCATGTTTGTTTGTTGGTTTTGTGTGTGTCTGTCTGTCTGTCTGTATGTGTTTGTCTGTCTGTTTGTATGTATGTGTATTTAAATTAGCTACTTTCAAAAAAAAGTCAGAGTTTTTAACCCATAAATATTTAAGATTTAATGAAATTTTTTTAACTTAATTATCGTTATTATCTCAATCTCGATCTGGTTGGTTTTTTACAATCCTTTCTTCAAAATATTGTTCTTACAACTGTGGCAAGCTTAACGCAAACAAACCTCTAAATGGCCAAGCAATAAAATTAAATTTAATCTATATTTTTTTTAATTTTTAGTATATTTTTATTTTCGTCGACAACTTTCCTTTCGCTTCTTTGTTGCAGTTGTTGAATTATGTGTGGCTATAAACGGGTTTATGCTGATGACAAGTCGACCGATGGATGACAAACAAAAAATATATCCTTGCTAAAACACCAACACACGCGCA